AGAGGGGTGGGGGGGGGGAAGGCTTTGCATATGCACACGATAAATGTGAGCTGACAACAACATGCAACATTCTCCGCAATCAACAGACTTCCACGTTGATAGTTGTACACTCGACCTCGTTCGACTCCTCGATAAGAGTATCCTTCATCAAGTGGCGGAATTCGCCAACAAATACCAAGACAGCCTGGGCGTAGGCGATGCTATCGGCAAGCTTTTAGCTAGGCCACCTATTTGACGGGTGGGTGCCTCTCTTTTCAACGGCGGCAATATTTTAATTCAGACCTATTAATCGATAGAAGACATTTACGTACAACACCGTGCTGCATAGTTGGAATGAACGTCTTTTACATCAATAGTGTGTTTTCTTTAATACATAGCATCATTATCTTTCACTTTTATTTTACTCTCAAAGCACCTCTACCATTGTGCATTCGTTTGGCATTGACACCATAATCATTCACATCTTCATATACCACTAGCAACAACACCAACAACACCATGTTTCGACCAGCCAGGCAATGCATGCCTCGTTGGATGATGCGACTTTTGATTTTGTTTCTCATCATGGTAGCCATTGGATGGGTGGGCTTATCGCAAACGGATACCACATCCACGTTAGGGTGCGACTCATCCAAGCAATGTTATGAATCATTTGTTAATACAGCCAAACGTATTGCTCTTGCCCCCAAAGATCAAGGTCTTCTCCTTCAACAACAACAGCAGCAACAATCCATGGCAGAATCTTCGTCATCATCAATATCACAGCCATCTCTTATTCGACAGCCCGACGATAAAGAAGAAGCTTCATCTTTGGACTCTAAGGAAGAGCAAATGACCATTGTCAAAAGCTTGTCGCCACAAGAACAAGAATACCAGCGATTGACAGATCCAGGTCAAGGGCGTATCAAGGCGGCCTTCGTGACATTGGCACGCAATCGTGAAGTGCATGCAATGCGATCATCCATGCGATATTTGGAAGATCGATTCAATCACAAATACAACTACCCATGGATCTTTTTGAATGAAGAGCCGTTTTCCGAAGAATTTATCAATCTCACACGTCAAATGACCAATGCAGAGACGTTTTATGGCCAAGTACCCACCGAACATTGGAGCTATCCTGAATGGATTGATCAAAACTTTGCTGCCGAGTGCAGACAACAAATGGCCAGTCAAGGCATCGTGTATGGTGGCAGTGAAAGTTATCGTCACATGTGTCGCTATCAATCCGGATTCTTTTACATGCACCCATTGTTGGATAATCTTGACTATTACTGGTACGTGTATGTATATGTATCATCGATGCCAGAAGCTCATACATAGTCCCCATAGGCGCGTTGAACCTGGTGTCAAGTTTTCTTGTGATATCGACTATGACCCTTTTAGACTTATGCAGGAACGTGATCTCAAATATGGTAATCATCTATGCATGTTTCTTTTTCACACACGCTTTACTTAATGTGTTCCAGGCTTCACAATCGCATTGCAGGAGTACCTTCTTACGATTCCCACTCTATGGGAGCGAACGCTTGATTTCGTCAGGGACAATCCACAATACATTTATCCACGAACACGCCCTGATAGTTTATTCAACTTGATTACGGAAGATGGTGGATTATCCTACAATCTTTGCCATTTTTGGAGTAACTTTGAGGTATGAATGGGAGGGAGGGAGGGAGGGAGGTTGTTGAACAATAGGGCTCACTTTTCACAATCGTTACATCGTTACTTTACAGATTGGGTCTATAAAATTCCTTAGATCTGAGGGGTACCAAGCTTACTTTAATCATTTGGATCGTGCAGGAGGTTTCTTTTATGAGCGGTAAGAAAAAGGGATGGCTATGGTATTAGAAGTACGAGGGCTAACATGGTCGTGAATAGATGGGGTGATGCTCCTGTGCATTCAATCGCTGTTGCTCTCATGCTGAGTGCAAAGGAAGTGCATTGGTTCTATGACATTGGTTACAAACACGATAATTTTGAGCATTGTCCCACCGAACCCGATTGGCTCGTACATGGTAAATGCTACTGTGACCCAGGAACATCATTTGGTAAGTGTATTAGAGGAGCACTTTATTGGTAATGTCCACCTATACTCATACATTGAATAGACTACGTGCCTGGAAGTTGCATCAACAAATATCTCGAAGTCACCAACACCACCGTCAACAATCATATCATCATTCAGCCTGATGAAGGCGACCTGTAATAAAGATCATGCGTGAGAGCAGGAAAATGTGCCCTCTACATGTATAATTTGCAATGCAGATAGTGCTTTATCATGGGGACATTCATTTCATTCTTGTAGTAGTAGTATCACTCAGGTCGAAAAAGTCACGTGGGGGACTTTGGAGCTGCTACAATGCATGTGTTAAGATGCTGACTTTGGCAAACGGATACGTTTTTCCCGTTACCTTTTCCCTTCCCAGCTCCTTTCCACTCATCCCACCAGAGGATTCATACTCTTGCCAGCCATGTCTGCCATGCGGGGTCTCACAGTGTAAGTGCAATGCTCTCAATCTACTTTTACTATGGAGCGATCGTGGTACTAAACAAATGGGGGCATGGTGTACCTTTATAGGTTCATAGGTAAAAACGCTTTCAACTCGACCGTTGCCATACGACACACACACGCACAGAGTAGAAACTAACGTTTGCAATGCTTCCATTTATTGATAACAACAGCCGACATTCGAAATTGTACGTGAAGGACTATTATGCAGTGAAGAATGAGCTACTGACGGGATCTGATGATGGGTTAGGTCGCGTGCGAGAACTCGAAGAGAAACGCATCAACAAGGAGATGGCCAACATTCGTTCCAAGTTCAAGGGTAAGCAAAAGACTTTTGTTGTGTATTCATTGTAGCCCACTCACTGTTTTCTTTTGGGATGTTTATAGAGACCAATCTCAATGGTTATCAAAAGAAGAAATATGTCTGCAAGCTCTTGTACATGTACATTCTCGGTTGGGATATTGAGTTTGGACATCTTGAAGCCGTCAACTTGATTGCCAGTACAAAATACAGCGAGAAGCAAATTGTAAGGAGTGGTGATGATGGAGGATGGAGGATGGATATGGAGGGATATGAACTTACGTCGTACAAAATTAGGGCTATCTTGCAGTGACACTCTTGTTCCACGAAAACAGCGATCTTATTCGTTTGGTGGTCAATTCGACAAAGAAGGATCTCGATGATATGAATGAAATCAACAATTGTCTGGCGCTTCATGCTATTGCCAATATTGGTGGACGAGAAATGGCTGAATCTTTAGGCCCGGATGTACATCGCTTACTCATCTCACCGTAAGTCAAGTTATCGAAGCCCTTTAGAGTGGAAATGCTTATTCACTTTTCTTCAGTACTTCCAAGAGCTTCGTCAAAAAGAAGGCAGCATTGACCTTGTTGCGTCTCTTCAGAAAGCATCCCGATGTATTGCCTGTCACCGATTGGGCAGATCGCATTGTGTCATTGATGGATGATTATGATTTGGTAAGCAAACTATAGGATGGAACAGAAGGGGTATGGGGAACTAATTTAAATTGTTAGGGTGTTGCATTGTCTGTTACTACGCTCATCCTCACGCTTGCTCAAAGCTATCCTGTGGAGTATGCTGGTTGCTATGAAAAGGCTGTCAATCGTCTTAAGCGGATATTGGTTGATCGGGACTACAGCTTGGACTACATCTATTATAAGGTGCCTACGCCATGGCTCCAAGTCAAATGCTTGCGTCTTTTGCAATATTATCCACCACCTGGTAAGTCATTGCTCTTTACCTTTATATTGACAACATTTTAACATTCCATGTTGTACAGAGGATCAAAAGCTTCGGGCTGATATTAGCGAGCTTCTCCAAATCATCATGACGAATTCCCAAGATGCGCCCAAGAACGTCCAACATAGCAATGCACAGAACGCCGTCTTGTTTGAAGCCATCAATCTTGCCATTCATCTTGACAGCAATTCAACCATTTGCGCACAAGCTGCACAGTTGCTGGGTCGATTCATCTCATCCAAAGAAACCAATTTGCGATACCTTGGCTTGGAGACGATGGCTCATTTGGCAGCATGCTCGGATTCCCTTGAACCCATCAAACGACACCAAGAAACCATTATGATGTCTCTTCGCGACAAGGATATCAGTGTGCGTCGCCGTGGTTTGGATTTGTTGTATTCAATGTGTGACATGTCGAATGCAAAGACGGTGGTATCGGAGCTATTGCGATATCTTCAGGTGGCCGATTATGCAATGCGTGAAGAAATGGTGCTCAAGATTGCTATTCTTGCTGAAAAGTTTGCAACAGCGTATTCGTGGTATGTCGACACGATCCTCCAATTGATCTCGACAGCGGGTGAACAAGTCGGCGAGGAGGTTTGGTATCGTGTGGTTCAGATCGTGACGAACAACGAGGAGCTACAAGAGTATGCTGCCAAGACAGTGCTCAACTATTTGGGGTCGCCACAATTCAATGAGACCATGCTCAAGGTGGGCGGCTACATTCTCGGCGAATTTGGACACTTGATCGCCAATTATCCTGGTTGCAGCCCTATTGAACAATTTACAGCCGTTCATTCAAAGTTCAATTTATGCTCTCTCAGCACGCGTGCATTGTTGTTGACCACTTACGTCAAATTTGTGAATTTGTTCCCTGAAATCAAGGGTCAAGTCCTCACCGTTTTCAACCAATATCGCTATGTTCTCGATTCCGAATTGCAACAACGTGCATGTGAATATCTCGCTATCTCGACAATGCCTGCAGATGACATGTTGCAAACAGTGTGTGAAGAAATGCCACCTTTCCCAGAACGTGAATCGACATTACTGCTCAAGCTCAATGAAAAGATTGGTGATACCGAGGATAAACGAGTGTGGGTCATTGGTGGTAAAGAAGCCAACATTGAACGTCAAGAGGATCTCAAGCGTAAGGTGTCTATGCGTCTAAATTCAACCGATTCAACATCATCGCCATCCACTGCTGCAGCTGCTTTGCCCACTCAACAACAACAACAACAATCATCTCCTCAAACAGCAACAGCAACTGATTTGTTGGCATTTGACGATCTATCAATCAGCAACAGCAATGTAAATATACCCGCTTTTGGGGATGTGCCTTTGGCCCCTGGTTACGAGCTTGGTTTACACAAACAATATTACATGCAAGAGGGCGTCTTGTATGAAGATAGCAATCTCCAAGTATCTGTCAAGAGCGAGTATCATGGCGCACATGGTCGTTTAGCATTGTATTTGACAAACAAGACGCCCATGCCAATGACCAATTTGGTGGTGCACGTTGAATCGTTGCCTGACAAACTCAATGTGAGAACCGTGGGTGCTAGTCCTACCGAGATTGGTGCAGGTGCTCAAGTGCAACAATTGCTTCAAACCGAGTGCCTTGATATGTTCAATGATCCACCTTCTATGCTCATCATGTACAACAACAATGTCACTATCCATATCAAGTTGCCTATTGTCATTACCAAGTTTCAGGAACCCATCAGCAATATGGATGGTGCTAGCTTCTTTAAACGATGGAATCAAATTGGTGGACCACCACGCGAGAATCAAGTCATCATTACGAGCCAAGTGCCTATTCAACTTGAGCAAGTTCATGCATTACTCAGTGGCTTCAAACTTGGTCTTTTGGCAGGTGTTGATCCCAATCCAAACAACTTTGTTGGTGCAGGTGTTATGGATCTTGGCAAAGGTGGAGGCAAGGTTGGCGTGTTATTACGATTGGAACCCAACATGGAGCAGAATGTAAGTAGTATCTTAATGGTTTATAGACGGCGAACGGATCATTGACTTGGGAAACGTGGTGTTTTTTTTTAGATGTATCGTTTGACAGTGCGTACACCCAGCGAGCAAGTATCAGAGCAACTACGATACTTTTTGGAACGGCCTTTGACAGTTGGAGCCTAATGACATCCGCCCTTCACCTTGTTTCTTCAACACCACGCATACACACACACACACACACACACACACACACACACCACATCTTCAATAGACATACCCTAGTTCTTTCCTCTCACTCACACACACCCGTCTTTTGTATCACTAAGACCCACACCACCACCTTAATATGAAAAGCCGATTTACAAGCAAGAAAATGTATTTGTTTTTATACAATAAGTTGCAAACATGAGTGATGAGTGCGTATGTAAGCGAGAACCATGGAGATTGTAGATGGAGAAAAGTGCTGTAGAATAAACAATAGCGAGATAAACACAAAGGCAAAGGGATGAAAGGGAGGAGGAGTAAGAAGAGGAATAGGGAATACATGCAATGATGTAACAATTTACATTCTGTCAAGAGGACGAAGACCCAAGAGACGCATAGCGTTGCCAAGAGTCACACGAGCAGCCCAATACATGAAAAGACGAGCTTCAGCGACGTCGGGTTCAGCACCACGGACCCAGAGGGATTCAAAGCATCCGGAGATATCGTGAGAAAGCTTGAATGCATAAGTGACAACATTGCAGGGTTCAAGGCCATTAAGAAGGGATCGAACAAGATCAGGGAACTGAGCCACGGTGCGAATAACATCAAGAGCAGCAGGTTCAGTGAGCAACTCGAGCTTAGCGTTGGGGTTGACTTGCAAGCCGCTCTTGCGTTCAACAGAGGCAAGACGAGCATGGGCATATTGGATGTATGGACCAGTGTCACCTTCAAAGCTGAACATGCGTGCACGATCGAATTCGTAGTTCTTGACACGACGAGCCGAGTTATCTTGGATCTTGACAGCCGACAAACCAATCTCATCAGCAACTTGTTCAGGCTCCTCAACTTCCTTGTACTTGACTTCATTCTTACGCATCACATCGTGCATGATGTCTTGGGCATCATTGAGAATGTCCTCGAGGAAAACAACAGTACCCTTACGAGTGGACATGCCTTGCACCATACCAAAGTTGATGTGCTCACACTTTTTGGCCCATTCAAAGTTCATCAAATCGAGGGTCTTGAAAAGCTGCTTCAAGTGCAAATCTTGCTGGGATGCAACGACGTAGATCATCTTGTCAAACTTGAATCTTTCATAACGCTCCCAAGCGGCACCAATATCACGAGTAAGGTACAAGGTGGTACCATCACGCTTTTGAACCACGGTCTTTCCAAGCTTGAACTTTTCCAAGTTGATCACCTTGGCACCCTCGCTATCCTCCAAAAGGCCATCATCAGCAAGCTTTTGCATGGCACGAGCCATTCCATCGCCCACTTGAGATTCACCAGAGTAGACGTCAAAGTGAATGTTCAAACGATCATAGACCTCTCTGTACTTGACAATCGACAAATCACGGAAGCGACGCCACAAAGCAAGAGCAGACTCTTCACCATCCTCCATTTGCTTAAAGTAGGCACGGGCCTCATCGTGAATTTCGGGATGTTCTTCAGCATCACGATTGATCTTGACATACACGTCGTACAAGTGCTTGATAGGATCCTGTTGAAGAGCGTTTTCATCACCATAGCGGTTGTAACCCACAGCCAAAAGACCTATGTACACAACAAAATACAATGAATATCCCAATTCCCATTACTTCATGCATGCATGCTCACTTACCATATTGCTTGCCCCAATCACCGAGATAGTTCATGGAGATGGCATCCCAACCATTAGCCTTGTACACGTTGTAGATAAAAGCACCAATGATAGTGGATCGCAAATGACCAGCATGGAAAGGCTTGGCGATGTTGGGGGAGGAGAATTCAACAATGATACGCTTGCCATTGCCGAGCTTGTTGCTACCATATTCAGTCTTCATATCAGCGACAAGAGCAAGGGTGCGTTTCAACATGACGGCAGGGTTGATACGGAAGTTGAGGAAAGGACCGATAGCGACGGCGGCAGTGATGTGATCGTTGGGTCGGAAAGCAGCGGCCCATTGTTGAGCGAATTGAGCGGGATTACCCTTGACACGCAAACGAGGAACAGCAACAGCCAAATCACCGTGTTCGAGAGAACGGGGCAAATCAAGCGATTCATAGATCAACTTTGCATCCACACCAGAGATTTGGTTCAATTGGCTGGCGATCAAATTCTTAAAGACATCCATAGGGTTGGTTTCAGGAGCACTGCCTTCAATGCTAGGGATCGTGTCGACACTGGCAGGAGCAGCTGCAGCTTGGCATTCTTCAGAAAGCAACAAAGCATCCTTGACCACTTGCAATTGAGCAGCATAGCTAGCATCAGGAGAGGATTCACCGTGAAGAGCACCCCATGCGAGAAAATCAACAAGACCAGGCTCGTTACTCAAAAGGTACTTGGTTTGACGAGGCTCCTTGACAAGTTGAAGAGCTGCTTCAGGGCTGCTAACAAGCAAATCGACAAGACGAGCTTCCTTTTGAGACTCTGGGCGCTGCTCGTCCAAAAGTTGTGCATAGCGGATAAAGAAACGCGCAATGGATGCGGCACCCGTCAAAGTGGCTGCTGCATTCACCTTGAGTGTTGCTTCGGTGACATCGCGCGAAGGAATCAACTTGACAGTCTCCTTGAGCTTGTTGGTGGATGCAATAACTGCAAGAACGTTGTATGGAATAGCCTTGGCGGGAACGTGCAACTCCATTGTGGTCGTCGTGGAAGGCGTGGTTGTAAAAAGGGAAAGGAAGAAAAAAATAGGGTGGAGCAGCGGCTCATTTTCCGAGTCATCACAAGCCACACTTATCCTTGACTCACTGTTGCGCATAAACTGCATCCTGTGACACATCCCCATCATCATGACTTTACAACTTTTTTTCTTTACGCATTGATAGAAATCATCATATTGGAAAGAGTGATCACCTAGTGAATGTGAACATGTCCATCCCTTATATAGTACACCTTTGTCATTTTTCATACACGTACGTACATCGTATACGTGTATGATGATGGCTAATAATGTAAACTACATTGATGATCATATCACGGTAGAAGATCACTCTCCAGCAATAGCCAAACTACGTTTGTACATCTCCCAATGATCCCATTTGATTGTTTCAGACAAAGAATTCCAGTGCCTAGTGTGATGATTGTACAATGCATAAATCGGCAACTGGCATTACCAATTTAGGACAGGTGGCAATATCCATTTATTCATTGTTCATCGATCCATCATCATACTAGTATCTTTTCCAGCTATCTACATTAAAGCTCATGTCTTTGTTCTATTCATAAAAGCGAATTGCTAGGCTACCTTTTATAATGATACGCCGTGCATGTTTGTGCGTTCAAGCACCGATGACTCATGTAAATGATAGGTTATTGACAACATGCAGGTTTGGGTTTTGTATGTGAAGGTGATGTCGCAATTAGAGGATGGTGGCCCCTGTACACATGACAACGACTTTCAAAGGCAAGTATACATTTTTAGGTTTTCATTCAAACGAGAAAATCCAGAGCGCCGGGATAAATTTATCCATGAGGATCTACGAATTTACCTCTTGGCTCGTGCCAAGACCTTATCAATCATCCAAGAACGCTTTGATTTTATATCCAGCAGTCGGCAACTCGAGCCGATTGTGCGCGGGATCCCATTGTTCTCCATCCCGCCGAACCAACCACACCGCCACACATCACACACACACACACGCACACACACGTTGACTCACACGTCCTGCTGACCCTATTCCCAAATGTCTACATTGTATTTACATTCGCGTGATTGTTCTTGTTGTTCAAAAAGCAATTCATGAACCTTGACAAAAAAGAGAGAGAGAGGGAAAAAGAAAAACAGAAAGCGAGAGAGAGAGATATAAATCATGTTGTTGTTGTTGTCGTGTGGGAGAGAAGCGGATGTGGGGAGACAAGAAAAGTAGGTAATGGTAAGGATGTCGTGCTAGTGCGTATGTATATGAAATGTTGCTGTTGCTGTTGTTGATGTATAGCGAGATGTGAGTTGTGTGTTTGTGTATTGTAAAACGCGCGCATAGGTCGTTAATCCACCACGTGGTCGATCTTGTTGATGCCAAATACCCGTACACGATGCATGACTGGGAGCTTGGCAACCAAAACGAGCATAAGTGGAGCAAAGTTGATAGCCAACAATAACAGGTTGTAATGAGTGTAATGCGTGCTCAACAGGAATCTACAATGTATTTCTTCATGTAAGCGCATCATGTGGCTGTATGGATCATTTCTCCTTTACTTACAAGGCAATAGGTACTGCGGTAAAGAACTTTCGAGTTGCTGTAAACTGTACACCTCCATCGATTTGTTCCCATAGCGTTAAGCCATCATAAGCACCTTGATGATTCTCGAAAGGAATGCCCTGCACCCAATGGAACATGATATAATGACCCTATATCATCATTGTTTAGTATCATGCAACTCTCACCTTTGTTCCTTTGTGCAACTCCCTCATTATCCTCCACCCCCAAAACCTGCTGTATCCGTGCACACACCCAACACAACCACATACATACACCCACATGAACACCAACACATACACACACACACATACGCCATAGAGCCCATATGTACTTACGATATTGAATGTCAAGTTTGTCAATGTCCAACTTGCTTCCGGGCTGATGAATGGGATAATGGAATAGAGAGTCTTGAGGAGGACAATGACAAAGATAGTCGTAGACCAAGCACCTTGAAAGAGAACAAGCCGGATCAATAGAGTTAGCCATTGACACCATCATCTGTCGAGTTGTCAAGTGCACACACGCTTACCTTTGTAGTTCACCCATGAAGAGTTGAAGTTTGGCATTGAGCTCTGATCAAGTGTCTGATGGGCTTTTTGCTCCTTGATGCTGGACATGATGTGGTAGAGAGAAAAAAGAGAACGGGAAAAAAAGACTGGAGATAATTTGGAGGACACACAAAGAGAGAAAGAAAAAGAGGTAAGCTCTGATTCTGAAACCGAGCTGTCGTCGAAGAAATACCATTGGATTCCCCCGCAGCAAACCAACCAACCAATCAACCACTCACCCACCTCCACACTCACTACTCATTATTGTATCTAAAAGTCATTACGTATTATAATAAAAGATAAAGCGATATGCATTTTGGACTCACAAACCATACAAGTCATATGCGATATTACTATCTAAAATGTAACTCTTTTCATTTTGATATTTTCATGTTCTTCAATATCTACGGCCTTACGCTTGCGTTCAGGGGATCTCATCATCGATATGAAGGAGGATGACGGGAAAACGCCACACGCCGCCATCATGGGCTGGTTGTTGTTGGGCTTATCGAGACTACCTTCATCATTGGCCTGATCAGGTGTAGGCATACCATATTTGACTAAGGCTTTGCCATCCATGATCTTGGTGGTGGGGTGATACTGCGAACCGGGACCAAAAGATGGGATCGTCTTACTATTATTGTTGCTGCTGCTGGTGATGGGGATGGTACTATTGCCGCAGCTTTCAGGTGATAAACCACAAGGTGGCGTGAGTAAAAGTGCCGCAATGGGAGTTGTCGTAGCAGGCGTATCTTCGTTAAGGGACGTAGCACGTTGAGACATCATTGTAAGGGTATGAAGGACTGTTGGAATCATAATGTTGTTGTTGGTGATAGTGGCGTGGGTAGTAGTTGTAGCAGTGGCATTCTTGGAAGCAGGTGCCACAATAGTGCAGGAGCGGCACTTTAGGTGACAATTAAGCATTTGAATCCACTGATCATAGGTATCCTTCTTGACATACAAGGACCAGTCTAAGAGTTGCAACATGACACGCTCGGCATGATTGATTTCCTTGACGCTCAATCCGCTGACTTTGCTCCAAGCCAAGTTTTTGTAGGTCTTGTCTTGAAGGAATTTATGGGCACAAATCAACGAAGCCAAAAACATGCGTCGACCACATGCAATATAAACGTTGTCATGACGATGTTGTAGAACGCGAGATCGGATACGAAAGAGATAAAATATCGCAAGTTGTAGAGTTGAATGAGTGGTGCGAGAATGTTTGAGAATATGGTAAAGAAATTGTTCGAGATTGGCAACAGGACGACGTTGTTGATGACTGCTGCTATTGCCGCCATTGTTGTTGACATTGTTGGCAGTGGGCCAAATGGATGCAATGGCCTGTACCGTGACATCTAGATTACATATCATGCATTCAGTGAGAAAAAAATTTTGCGTAACATTGCTGCTTATGCGATGCTTACCAACAAGGGCGCCCACGTATGCTCGCTGTTGTTCATGATAAGACGATGGTTGCTGTTGTTGCTGTTTCTTTTGTTGGTGGTCTTTAGCATACACATCGTCGGGTGAACTATTCGGCGTAGCAAGAGAAGTGTGGGTAATGCAGGTCATTGTATGTCGTTTAGGTGGAAAGAAAAGAGAGTGCGAGCGATTACGGAAGCGGAAGCAAGAAAAGACGAAAAGAGACCTGGTATTTATATGGAACGGTAGTACGAATGATTGCGTAGAATGCCGCAGCATGAATCATCCTCGTACCCGTGACTGGTTGGGGATTGCGCAGCATACGACATTTGTGTCTATGAACTTCTTGGAAAGCTTGGCCGGTTAACGGATATCGTTGGTGCCGGAGGTGATCCTTGTTTAGGAAGTGGACAAGGATGACTTGAATTGATTGGTGCGTACTTGAACAAGCATTGGAAAAGAAGCAATAATGGTAATCGCGGGATATCGGTGGATGTTGATCTATGGTGCAATTATGGATGGATCAATGCACAAGTTTAGTGCTGGGACTGTGTAATGCTCACTAATGCTTTATGGTGCACAGAATAACACACAGACCTTCAAAGTCGACAAAGATGACTCACATGTGAGCCACACGCCTACACACACTCGCCGCAACAATAATCTTCCCTCCTAGTGGTTGATACTCAGAATTGCTTAATGAGGCGTAATTCTTATTGGTGTTTCCGAAAATCTCCTTACCGCAGCCTCACACACTCTCTCACACCACCACTCACACGTCTGGCTGAGTGCTGGCTGAATGAATGAATGAGCAACGTCATTGTCCTTTACGCAACCCTCTTCTCAATCCGCCGCTGCTTACTTTTTTTCTCTTTTTCTCTCTATTCTTTCACTACTCCCTTTTTGCTCTACTGCTGCGACAACCATCTTCATCATCACCCATGGAAGACAACAAAGCTCCCGAAGTGCCCATGCCCTGCACTGCTGGCTGCGGTTTTTATGGCAATAAGATATACAATAATATGTGCTCTAAATGCTTTCGGGAGCAAGCCGAGCAGAACAAGCAACGTAAGCGATTCATCAACACGCATAGTGTGTAATACACATCATCGACTCACCTATCATCATCATCATCAACCATCGTTATAGCTATTACCGATGCCAAGCCAGCACCATCATCTACACCTATCAATAATAACAACTTAGACAAGCAACCCGTAGCGGCAACAACTCCACCTCCACCTCCTTCAAACAACTTACCAGCACTCGCAACAACATCACCACAAGAAGACAAAGAACAAGAGAACAACAAAGAAGATACAGTCAAAACAGCTGATGAGTCATCTCCCCCCGAATCAGCACAAAGACCTGTACAAAAGAGTCCTGGTCGATGCTTCATGTGTCGCGCCAAGGTATGTCGACTTTTCCAATGTCACCGTGATGAGCCCCCATTCTCATATGGCCATGGTCCCTTCTTTAGATTCCACTCGCCAAGCAAGTCAGCAACAAGTGCAGGTGTGATTATGTATTTTGCGACTCGCATCGTTATCCTGATAAGCACGACTGCGACTTTGATCATGCATCTATGGACAAAGGTGAGTAGTGTATGCTCCATGTAGGAGACAAGTTGTTTGCTGTGTATGAGAGGAGGGGGTAGATGTGGGAGGTATATCGTGTGTGTGATATAGATAGATAGATAGGATGGTGTGTGCGTGTGAGAAGAGATAGGATACAAAAAAAGAGAGCTGCATGTTGACCTGCATATTGCATATTAGATATTCTTGCCAAGAAGAATCCCAAGCTCAATGAAAGGCCACGAGGTGGTAGGTCGTTTCAACGTCTCGACAGCTTGTAACAAATCTACCCATCAACATTATCACCACAACAACAACTATTCACATCATTCGATCACCTTGCTTTCTCACACACGCACGCACGCACGACGCACGCACGCAACAATCACACACGTACAAATCATCACTTCTTCTCTCACACACACACTCAACACGCTTTAACCAACATCCTCCTTTTTTAAAGCTTCTTTCTCATATGGAACATGATCATCTTTTCTTATTTTCTTTCTCTCTCTCTCTCTCTCTCTCTTTATTTTCTTTCTCTTTTTATCCACAACCCCCCTTCTCGTCAATCAATCTCTCTCTATCTCCCCCTTTTCCCTTTATCATTCCAGATAAACAAGTCGACTATTGCATTCATATCATTTAGTGGGCGCGTGACTTTGTGGGTGGTGTATAACAAGTTTTGATAAGGAGAATGTGTAATGACACAATTGTGATGGCATATGACTTTTTGGAAATGCCCGTGATTTGCAGCGGCAACCATCATTTTCGACTCAGCAGCAGCACTCCACATTCTCGTTGTCGTCGTAACAATGAATCAAATCAGGCATGTTTCTTTGTGGCAATGATCTTTGAAATTCTCCTCGAAAGCAAACAGTGGCATTTGTATTAGCATGGGATGTGAGGGGGGGTATTCCAACGACAACTTTTTTTCAATCCAAGCAGCAGCCTTGTAATATATGGACAAATGCATAGAGACAATTACGTAATGCAGCTCAATGCTGATTGCACAAAATACGATAAACAGCAGCATCATGTAAATTGTGAATAAAGCATCGGTCTACATTTTCATCCAATCGAATGCTAGCGATCGTAGGTTTCCGATATTGACATAAACCAAGTCCTCGGTACATTTCAAAGTGGGATCAAAATCCATCTTGATGATGAGGGGACGAGCGCTCCGAATCACGGCATCACATATACACGAGAGCACATATACGCGGGCTTATATTTTACATGCAACGCACGCCTCCTCCGCACATTATTAATACCGCTGCTGCACGTTTTGCATCATGATGCTTAATAAACATCAACGGGATACACAATCCCCCATATAGCCGAGGAATAGTTTTCTCGGGCATAATGATGCCGATGTCCATTCCATGTAACCCTCGTTTTCTTGTTTGGGGAGCGACTACTACGCCAATCGAGGTGGCTTTGGCTATTACACACTCATAAAATTGATGCCGCCAATATTCCTGGATCGGGAAGCAACACGGCAAAACGAAAGGGAAAAAGACAAAATAAGCACACACACAGCACAACTTGAACCCCCAACGTGGGAAAATCAAGGTTAACGAGGAACCATGTCGCACAGTATAAGCCCAAACATGGGTTGCTTGACAACTCAGGGCAAGCAATAATGTGGAAGCATGGTAATGGAGGAAATGAGGAAATATAAAGGACACCATGTGATGGATACATGAACACACACATGCACCACGCGCGTTGCCCTGGAAATTGATTTCTTTTCTATGCCTCTCTCATGACAATCAACCCTTTTTTGCTGTCGCAATAGGTCATGGGGAGGTGTCTTTATACGCAAACAAGGAAAGAGTGATGTTAATATGCAAGCCGATCACAGGGTTTTACCTCATGCACAAACACTCACACTAGGAAAGTGGGGGTGGGTGGGTGTGCGTTTGTTTTCGGGTGCGGAGAGAGCGAGAGGGGGAGAAGGAAAGGGTATGATGATGATGATGATCAACCACCACAATGGCAAAAAGCTATCATTACGCCCACCCCTCTCTCTTTCCGCTTTTCTTTCACTTTCCTTTTCAAAATCGAATATACATAAAATGTCGTCTCAAACCATCCATGACGACCGCGATCTCGACTTTATCATCGGTCTCTCCTTTCATAAACTCGAACAAGTAACGCACAGCGGCCAATCCAAAGGTGGAGGTGGTTTGCTTCCTTTTGTGCTTATTCGCAACGCTCTCATTTCTCAACCACCTCGAGCCTCTTACCCGTACAATGTCATCACCCATGATGATGACAATGAGGATAGCATCGAAGCATCCATTCAACAAGACGAAGCCATTTGTGTTGAGCAGGATTTGTTAAAACAAGAAGAGGAACACATTTGGCTCGAGGCATGTTTTGATGAGCTACAAGATGATCCCATGTTGGAGCACCAGCTGCAACACGAGGACACCCAAAATGATGACGACGAAGAGGATGACAGTCTCATGCTCGATGATTTTGGCGATATGATGTTCATGTCGGCCGCAAAGCGTGCTGGTATCAAACCAAGCTACCTCACGAGTAGTAATGGTATCAGCAAACAGCCATCATCCTCTTTTCATTTGACACCCACAAGCAATCAACAACAACAGCAATATCAATATTGAATGGCATACATATCTATCCCCACGCACTTTTTCTTATCTTATGCATAACCATCCCCCCATTCTGTTTTTGTAAATAGTTATATCAGGCTCTCTCTTTTTTTACATATCTGCTGTCCAAATCATAATATACAACACTATATCCTTGTTTCTTTCTTTCCACCCCCTCACCACACTCCCTTCATAGTTCCATCTTGTTTATCTCTTTTTATCTAAGTAAAAGAAAGAAATCATCATTTGTATCACAAAAAGAAAACACATGTCTAGTCAATGACGTGGTAGACACCCTTCTTGACCTCGCCTTCGCCCTTTTCGTAAGGAAGATCAAATACAGCGTTGCTACGGAAACGTCGAAGGAATTGGATGGCAACGCTCTCCAAGCTCACTGGATCAACGTACAAATCCTTGAAGGTGAGAGCACCAGGGGTAGGCTTGTCGTCAATGGTCATCTAGAGCATGCATAAAATGGGTGAGTGAGTATTTACCCCACAGCTAATAAACATCGCCCAACTCCTTGGTAATCTCTTTTTATGTGCCCCTGGTTTCAATCCCTCCCACACGCGTGTTGATGATACTTACACGTTCAATGAGATCGGGGCTGACCATTTGGTTGTAAGGGAGCTTGTCAATCAAGGTAGCAGCAGCCCTAAATAGCATGTCAATATTCAAGTTCCAACCGAGACATGGCATCAACTTACTTGGCGATAGGGAGAGGAAGAGGATAAATAGGAAGAGGCTTCAAGGCAATTTCGCGGGCAATCTCATAGATTTGCTGGTAGCTGTACTCCTTGGGACTAGAAGATACATCCAATGTGAATGGTAAATCCTTCATGTGGATGAGGGCTATGGATTACTTACCCATAAAGTTCATAAGTCTTGCCAGCAGTAGAATCGGCCATGAACATAACTTCAAGGGCTTGAGCAACATCAATAGCCTAACATTTCATACATGTGTGAGCATCAACATGAGGTACATGTTGTAGTAGACGTAGGGCTTACCGAAACAGGACGAATCTTGGTTTGGCCTTCGTTGACCCAGAATTGCCAACCATCACCAAGACCAATTCTGTTCAAGAAACGATCCTCATGACCAAACATGGTACCAGGGCGAGCAATGGTAGCATCAGGAAGCACTTCACGAACAGCCTTCTCACCCAAAGCCTATGGACACAACATGTATGATCAATCCATCAATCCATCAACCTCACCATTGAATCCAACAATTTACCTTGGAGCGCAAGAACTTGGATGTGGAATCTTCGGAAGCGTTCAAAGCAGAGACTTGGACGAAACGGGCAACACCAGCTTCGGCAGCAGCTTCAGCAATGGCACGGGAGCCATCAACGTGGACGTGTTCAAAAGTGAAGTTCTTGGTCTCATAATCACGACCCACCAAGTTGTAAACGATATCAGAGTGACGGACACATTCCATGATTTGTTCACGGTTTCTCAAGTCGAATTCCTATAGATGATCGATTGATAGTGTAAGTGGAAGTAGAAGGGGAGGATGAAATGAAATACAAGGGGATTACGTACCAAAGGAATCACTTGGCCAAGATCACCACAGACCTTGAGATGTCTAGCTTCATCAGGATCACGATAAGCGACTACAACTTGTGTGCCTTGTTTGGCTGAAAAATAGTGAAAACAAAAATGTCAGCTAATAGTCTCATTGAAGCACCACCACCATCAAAACACACATACCCAACTTGGAGACAACATAACGGCCGAGGAAACCAGTGCATCCAAAGACAGTAGCAATGTGACCATTGGTGCTCGAGCTATCAAAGTTACATACATGTTGAATACCCATCATATACAATAACCCTCACACACACCCTCGTCCCCTTACCGTCCACCACGACCATATTTAAACATGGCCTGACCGGTCTTTTTGCGAAAAGTCAAATCGTGCATTGAGCGCTAGAGAGTGAATGTGGAAGAGAATTGGAATCAATAACTGCCTTGGGAGTCGTTGTCGCGTTGTGGTGGGGGGTGTGTTGTGTTTTGGTAAACATTTACCGATTGCATCGCGGCCAACTGGACGGTTTCCTGACGTCCAACCTCTGTGGAATGTAAATGAGTATTTTCGTTGCCCCATTCGATAGTGCATGTCAATGTGCTTACGTCTGATCGCGTTCGTAAGAAGCATGGCTGGGTAAAGAGTGGGGAGGAGAGCAAGGTTTATACGGTGGGAGATAGCAAAGACTATTGGCAGCTGCCCATACACTACACACAACAATTTGCACGACGTCACAATTGTCGGTCGTTCCCCGCCCAACCCACCCCCATTAGCCATTAGCCATTTAGCTGTAGACCCTGCTGCCCATTTTAAAGTGTGCTGCTATTATAAAGGCTGCAATCATATATTTACGGCTATTTGCGCGTTACTATAATACAAGAAAGAGACATTGTGGGAGATATTTATCACTAGTAGATGGATTGGAGGGGGATATATATATATATAATGACTACTTTGAAGGAGCACGTTCCCATACAGTGCCAATTTCTTCCATTTGATCTTCAACGTTGGTGGCAATCAAAGCCTCGAGAACAGCTTTACCAACAGCGGGTTCAAGGACCTTGACAACTTCAGGGCGGATGAATCCATTACCAACACGATCGGCAAAGACTTGGTGACAACCAGCAGCTTTGACTCCAGTGGCACATTTGGCAAGGTGGAAAAGCATACTTGTTTCCATTTCGAGACATACGGTATCGGGATGAGTGGCCATAGCTTGCTTGATCAGTTGTTGATTATCATCCCAAAAGGCAGGATCTTGACGACCTTGTGACGAATAGAATGAGCAGCCATCAGCATTCAATCCACTGGTGATCACGGGACCCACTGGTTCACCCGATTCCACCAATGGCATCAATGCTGTTTCCACAGCATCAGCCAAGCGATGTGTCATGTCAGCGTCAGCTGCAAAGGTGCCTGAAATGATGTAAGGCGACTTTTTCAAATCTTGGTTGATAGGATGATCCGAAAAGTAATCAATGTTGCGTCGAATACAATAACCACCATGAGGCACAATCACAGAGCCAGGAGGAGCACGCTCCGTCAATGAACCACAAGAGCCAAATCGGATGATGGCCACAGTGCCTGTTACCACAGCACGAGTTTCACGAACAAAGAAATCCATCATAGGATTACCCATACCACTATTCATGATATCATGAGCACGTGATTCTCCTTTTTCCATCATTGTAATGATTCTATCTCAGACACTTACATGGCCATAATGGTGATGGGCACACCTTTGTAGCGACCAGTGATCGTAAGAAATCCACGTTGGCTGGTATGGATAAAAGTGGGATGGCCAGCTTCAGCTTCGCTGTCAAGCCACTTGGCAATGGCTCGGGCACGTACATGATCACCCACCGTGAGAATACGATTGGCTACTTCACCACGCTTAACATTGATGTGATACACACGGCCTTCACCGTCTTGAGGAAAGTTTGCGTTTTGGAGAGTCTCTTTCATGGTATACGATATACAAAAGAAGGGTAAAGAATTAAAAAAAGAAAGGTGTTATATATATAGGCGGGTGAGAGAGGGGAGAAAAAGGAAAAGGGAAAAAAGGGACGGTAAAATCGAATGAGCAGGTTTTACTCTGAGTTTGAGTGGAACTCGAAACAAGTGCTACACTCTACTACTACACCCACAAAATGCAACATGATCCACACATACCTGCATTCTTCCACACTCCCATCCTTTTTAAGCTCATCATTGACAACTCAAAAAGACACACACTGTCAACGTGTCAGTCAACCGATCATGCACATGTTCGATAGAGCACGTTGATGATAAGTGTACTTTGATCACGTTTATTTGAGAGGGGGGAACAAGGCATGGGGCTTGGGTCTCGAGTCTCAAAGTGAAGGTAAACCATACATCACTGAGATAGCATCCATATTTACAATGTAAGTCATATGAGAATAATCGTTGTGATATAGACCATGTTACTGCTATATCTCCCTTGTCTTCCCGCCATGATGATGCCGACCATAAACGTGGGGTGGCTGTGTAGCGTTGTGTGGTGGAAATTGAGGTTTCACGGGACAATGCAGAAAGCGGTGTGTGAGAAAATGAGGCAGGTAGTAACACCCAAGGTCTTTGATGACATAAGAAAAGCATGTTTATTGTATCTCTATTTCGTATTAACATTTATTTTGCTCCCAAAACACGCTCCTTTGCATGGATCATATTGGTAAGGTATTCATTAACAGGTGCAGCCATGTTGCGATCACGAGCTAGTTTCAAAAGGTATCCATTGATGTAGTCGACTTCGGTGAGACGTTTTGCACGAAGGTCCTGCAAAGTTGAACAGGAATTTCCACCCGCAATAATAACGGTCTTTTTGACCATGTCCATCAATTCATCAGCCGTGGTATTGAGCTCTGGTAACAAAGCATGAGCCTCTTCGCATACACCACGTAGCAATGCTTCTGCACCGGGATTGTCACGCAATGCACCGTTTTTGACACCGAGAAGTGCTGCGACAGGATTGATGCTTGCATTTACCACCAGCTTACGCATCATTCGTCGACGTAATTCTTCCCACGGGAATACTTTGCAATTAAACTCCTCGAAATGGGTAATGGCATCCAACACCTTGCTTGTGTTTTCAGGCACGGAATGTGGCATAGCACCAAGCATTAATCCACCTTCTTGATCATCCCATCCTGAATAATGAGTCACTGAAAAAGGCTCCATACGTTCGATTGCATGACGATTGACACCAATAATGATCGAAGGGGCTGTTTCCATGCTTGGCCAAAGCTTATCCAAAAGCTCTTCGGCAAGACCCATGCCATTTTGAAGTAACACCAACGTGCTCGACCGTGACAAACGCGGCTGTACCGATCGTACTGCTTCCACAGCATGTTGTGATTTGGTTGCCACGAAAAGAGCCTCGATCGGCGATTGCAATGAGGTGCCTACTGGCTCAGCGTCAAAACCTGTAACCTTGATAGGCTGCTTGTCGCTTCGAGTGTAGATCACAGTGCTATTCTTTTCTTCCTTGAAAGTCTTGACTGCTGCATTTGAGCGTAAAAGAAGAGTGATAGGATGTCGGGGGCGCAAGATAGATGCTACATGGCAACCAATAGCTCCTGTACCAAGGATATGAAAACGCATTTCCACGACTGAGCAAATCAAAGACGATGCAAAAAGAAGAGATGGAAAAGAGAAGAAGGATGTTAAATAGGTGGCCAACAACAAAGAGGGTGGGGGTTAGGTTTCGAGGGGGTGCACTTGCTTTTTTTGTAAAAGGTATTCCTTGCTGGTGCCGATCCGAGTGCAGTAACTTTCATGCCAATCACTGATTAACTCATCCGTGCATAGCAGACTATGAAGCACATAATTTGATATTGATTTTACCCTTTGAAATATAAAGAGGTCGTTACAAAGGAATGACAACAACACACTTTAATGAAATCAAGGATGGGGTTGGGTTGCACTTGGAAACGATGACTCACTAGAGACTATTGGTAGCGATTGGCAGCGGGAAAGTTTTTAGGTAATGTTCCACTGTACCAACTCCGTTGTTCCTGGAGATTAGCATGTCGAGCTTGTACTTAATCAAACCAATGCGCTGTACAATGAGCCTGTTACTGGATCTTTTGTGTTGCAATCATTGCCCCGGATCATCCCATAAAAAGTAACCGCTGACGTCAAATGCATATCTCGATCAGCCTTCCCAAGATTCTTCATTTTTGCATAACTTCAATTGTTAAAAATCCAAGATGCGAAATAAAAATGCGTCATTGTTTGATGTTGTTATTGTTGTATTGATGAGAGTGAGTGATGGGGTGATTGAACTATGATACACTTGCTTTGTCTAGAACATGGCTTCTTCAGCACGGAGGTATTCACCAACATCAGCCTGATGGAAAACAATAATGTCGGTAGGTTGTAATCTCTTCATTTCAGCCGTAGATCGTGCCGTAACACCAAAGCCCTATTCACAATATCGCATCAATGATCCAATGCCCTTTAAATCCTTAGCTTGAATTACTTACCAAAGCTGTGTCTGCCATGGAATACACAATAACACCAGTATGCTCAGGAGTGTCGTCAGTGATACGTCCCAAATGTGCCTTCACCACATTGTTGCCGTATAAGAATGGCATCTCACCATTAGGCTTGATCCAGATTTTATGCTGTCACCAGGTACACTATCAGCAACAATGGCCAAGATCCTGTTTCCATCCTCATTCTTACCTTTGCGTATTGTGCCAAATGATCCAATGCAGTAATGTGCAAGGTGAACTTGCCGGTCTTGGTGAACTTGCCAAAGCATACACCCAAAGATCCAAGGTGATCACGACCAATATTACTAGCCATCCTCATCATCGATTCACTATACCCATGTTAATACTGCATGCTCCTCTTTCCATGTATAAGCATCCTACCTGACATAGTACACACGATCTTTCTGAAGCCTGAAGCAGTAGGTCTCATCGGGACGATCAATGAGATGCTTAATGTTAGATCCAATACTAAACGACGTATTAGCATTGATACGTAAAGGCATGACATGGTGTAGTTGTCGATACGTACTATTTTGCAAGCTTCTCGAATAGCGTCTTCGTCTCGTCGGTGGTGAGTGGGCGCATGGCGATGTGTATGTGTGGTGTTTAGGGAAAGGATATGCAGATGAAAGGAATTGCGGATTGAATCCCGACCGCCTTTTGACATTCAAGCCACAGTAGTCACGTGGCGCAATTTAAGGTACTGGATCCAAGAGGTCTGTGTGTTTGATATGAGTTCTCCCCTGCATCACCTTCGTTCGCATATCAAATACTAAATCATACTCGTCATTTGCTCCTATTCACTATGTGGCATCTATACATCATACGCCTCTTTTCATCAGAGTAAATCATTGTCTCATCAAATGGCGCAACATCAACATCGTGTCCCTTGGATACCTGTTACCAAGCCTACATGAGTGAGAATCCACCTATACTACCTTCATAATAAACGTATAGAATAGGGCTCCTTATCATCACCACCAATGTAGTAATAAGCTTGTTGCCAATAATAAAGGACATCCCTGCCGTATAATAATAATACGAGATGAACATGTTGTGCTAGAACGTACGTATCGACATGATCCAATCACAAGAAAAGGGGATATCAGCTATACACTATCAACGCAGTATTTGTTCAAGACACAATGAATCAATCAAATCCTTTCTAAACCTCGCTTTTATCACAGCATTTACAAGTAGGTAAGCTTCTACAAGCTACTTAGGAAGAAGAGGGGTCTTCTAATGATTGGCCAACGCAAACTCGTATTCGCCAAAGCGACCCTTTTATCCAACATCATTCACAAGAGATAGATTGGGAGATACAATGAATTGATCCAATGGAGGTGATACATCGATTTGGAAATCCTCTATTCTTTGAGCGTGCATTTTGCAAAGTTGAGTGGATGGAAGTGAGGTGGCACTTGATGTGAGGTGGATCGTGATGATGGTTGTAATCGGTAGAGGGGTTGCAGCAACGATGATAATTGTAGTTGCCATGGAATGACGTGTAAAGTAGGGAAATTGACGCACCAATCATTCAAGATGATAGCATCATACACTTAATGGCCAAGTTGACAATGGATCCATAAGAACAAAGGTGCCCTTTCAAGCATTGTAATACAACCAACTTGATGATGAGGTCGAACGTGAAGATGATACTGATTATGATGATGATGGTGAGCTTGCGGTTGAAAATGATAGGTCAGCCACAGGTAAGGCTTTACCAAGCTGAATCTTGGAAGGTGGGCATGTGTTAAGTTGAGAGACCATGGATGACATCATCTCTTTTACTTGCAAATATAGCATCAAGAGTGGTATTCCACGGGCCACGAAACCACTTGCTAACTCGGGCATCGGGTACCTGAAAGAGCGAATGACCCGGCACACATTTCCACCAGGATTATCCATCACTGCCAATGACACCGTTCTACCTATAGTAAGATTGTTTCAACCTTAGTTAGTGCATTCTTCAGGTATCATCTTTACATTACCCATCATTACATAGCCAAAAATCCTCATAGATTTCTTTAGGGCAGGAAATGAGGAGCTTGTTGGCACCACAAGCAATTGTCTTGGGACTTTTCAACTTGGATTCTCGCATCTCTTGTGTACCATACTCCTCCCAACTTCTGCGAAAGCCGCTAAATTGGGTGTTGGGGGTTGTTCCACTGCTATTTGCACCATGTCAAATGCACCAAGTCAATGTCAGCACCCGACGTAGACCACGGTACCGAAACCAACTTTTGCAGATGCTTCACGGAGGGATAGCTATATCGAAAGTAACAAGGTGGCGTATATGAGTAGTGATTCCTCAAGCAACATGATCAGGCTTTACCTCGTTACAAGAATACAATATCGCAATACAATGACAATGAGAGTAGGATCAAAATAAAGCACTATGAAAGACCACAAAAGATCAGGACTTATTCACAAAGCTTGTATGAAATGGGAAACGTACAAAACTTGACCTTGTAAGCAATCAAAATAGTATGGTAGAGAAAAGAGAGATGTGGGGGTATGGTGGGCGGCGACAACATCCTTTTATTGTGGATTGTGGGCGTGGGTTATTTTATTTTATCTGTTGTGGATGATGCATTGATAAATTGATGCATGCGCTGATAAACTGATGGGGCGCATATACCAGGATAAAGTCTGAGGAGCCTAGTGCAATGTTGTCTATGCATACGTCCATCGGCCAAATTAGGCCAAGTGATAAGAAACCTATCAAGGAAATTAATCACATGTACGCATAATGCACATCCTCCCATGTTGTCAACCTACTCTTAATATTGGTATGCGTGTTCGATAAGCACGCAGCGAGGAAGATCGGATCACGAGAACATGGCAAATCCAAGACTGTTGGATAATACAGGGAAAATGCATAAAGACTCTACCTCGTCGGCTTCCAATAGCATTAGGGGATTTAAACTTGTGGACGGTGGCTCCGCGACTTGAGACAACGCTTCTCTTCTCTTTCTCCCTCCTCTGCTTTTATCCCATTCACGACATTCCAATCAAGGTAATGTATTATAAAAAAGTGCTCTTGTTGGCTGTGAGGTGTTAATGTAGTTCTGAACATGCATTGTCAGGGAGAGTGAGTGTGTCCAAGTGCTGAGGAATGAGCGTGGTTGGTGGTTGGTGGTTGCCATGGCGATATTGTTGCTTCCTTTTGCTCGTTGCTATTCCCGCTCTACGCTTGGTGTCAACAGGTACATTCAGAGTCCACTGTTGTAGCCGAATTGGTTCCATTGACGCGTCAGCTTGTATCGAGGGCAAGTTTGGTTTCAAAACGTTGGCTGGTCTGGCGTTTTGTTTCGGCTCAACAACACCACTACACCATCGTTTTCGGTTTCCAGTAACCAACAACAACGGGTCTTTGCGTATATGGAAAAGGCAAGTACAATGAAACAAACAATGAAAAGGGCGTTATTGTATACGAGTGCTAATAATGAATTGAATAGGTTTCTTTGGTCAGGCCAATGCAACTTGGGGCATCATCATCATCATCTCTTTGGGTTCAAGTCCCAGCCTGTACCAAGTGGTCGCTGCGTCGCTCTGCACTAGCCAAGTGCACTGGAAAAGCTTCTTTCAACGCGTCCAGGGCTCTATAGACCTGCGTTTGAGTTGATGGGTCGATGACGATGGGTTTTTGGAAGAGCATGTTCACCGTGTTGAGGTAAAAGGGGATTTGCAACAGCTTGTGAATGTGTTGACATCATCAGCGCAAACCAACACGCTCTTCTCGTGATAGGCTCGTTCTTTCCCTTGAGGATTTCTTTTCATGAGGTGGGAAATGATTGGAAGGATTGGGGATCATTCTTCCTTTGGAGAGGATGAATGAGAACAACTATGAGCCTGGACTCTACGTAAGTGATGTCCTTCCTTGCCATGGATCGAACTGGCCTTGCGTGATTCGTGCAGTGCTTTCTCAAGAACAAGGGATCGCCCGACGTTGCTCGTATGGTGGTGATTTGGTTTGTGAATTACTTCTGATTTGCTTTCTTCCTTAGAGAGGATCGGCTAACGGTATACCAAATCGTCATCATTCCGGTACCAGATGGTCTAACTTGCCTGCTTTCTTATTTATAGAGACGACGATTACGATGATTACCACATTCACAACAATGACGATTACGATGATCACCCCATCCACAACAATGACAATGATGACGACAACGAGATACAAAAGGAAGCCTTCAAGATCCCATTCTTTTCAACTTGTGTATTTTTGGATGTTGGTGTGACGGATGAGATTGACGACTGGTGACGAGTACGAGTAGGGATGATGACGGAGGACGACTACGACGATGGTGGTGGTAATGTACAGTAGCAAGATAGCTAGATGAAATAAAGCATTGTTTATTTATTACACGCTTGTTGGAGCTGGCTAGCTTGTGGATTACATACTATTGCTTCGAAGATGGAATAATAAAGGTGGTCCGGTTATCGGTCATGCAAGAAGTACATGGCTTTTGTGATACAATAAGGAGGAGTGGGAAGTGGGATGAGCTTGAGAAGAGAAAAAGTGGAGAGATCCCTCCATTGAGTTTCAGGATGAGTGACTCATTCAATATGTATACGTATCTTTTTACATATACAAATTGGTTTATGCAGCTCGACCTTCTCCTACATGCAAATGTGATACATACCTTGACACATCTTCATGGTTGGATGCTGTTTTACTTACGTACCTTCACAAAAGGCAATCATCATCATCATCATCCATTTGTGTAGCAACCTGTCAAGGACGCGTTTGTGTAACCACCACGTGCGGTTTCACTCAGCTCTTCATCTTTCAGTTAATGCAGCCGACACCATCCACTAGGAAAAAGCAACTCCATCACGCTTACAGCATAGGTAAAACATAAAGACGCCTGTATCTCCAAACTTTACAATGAAACGCGGGGTTTTTATTAGAGCAACGTGCTCGGCTTGGCCAACAGCACCTTGTGTGAAAGTTTCGCGTTCAATGTCGCAAACAGCCCAAAAAATATTTTTTGGTCGTCGTCGTCGAAGAGCTCGACCCCGCGATCCAGTTTGCTGGTAGCGACATTGCGAAATCTGGGGTTGGCCACGATCGACTTCATAGTTTGACACAAGGTCGCTTTGACCCCGACGAGCAGCTTTGTTCTCTTAAAGACCCCACGTCACATTGTAAAATTTGGAGATACAGGCACCTTTATGTTTGTAAGCGTGATGCTATATGAAGAGTGGTCTTTGTTCATTGTCAACTAGGTGGACCCTGGCAGAGCCAAAGATACAGAAGGACCTCTTTGGGTAACTCAGCTAAAAAGTCAGGACTTCAGGGACAATGCATGAACGGTACGCAACCCTCACTTTATGTCATACATTGGCAGCTAATAGCCACTTTTATCCAATCAGCATTGTTGCGAAATCCACGTGATGGGAATGATGCTCCTGCTCCAGACATTCATTTCCATGATTCAAGTAGCTTGATCCGAGCTGATTTGGTTGAGTTACGGTCGAACAAGGATTAATCAGC